GCGCTCAGCGAATGGCAGATGCTTTTAAAGTCCCCACTAACTTCAAGGTCTTTCTAAGCCCTAACTCCCCTGGGAGGCCAGCCCCTGAGGCTAGAGGGCCAAGGGCCCCAGCTTGGTTTCCAGAAGCAGAGGACTGTAGTAGTGGGGTTCGGTCCTGTTCTTCACCCCTCGACCCAGGGGGCAGAAAAGATCCCCTTCCTCCTTGCCCACAGCAGAGGCCCATGGGTGCAGGGACAGTCCTGGCTCTGCCACGAGCAGGCTGTTAGCTGGTCCCCACAGGCCTCCAGTGTAAAATGGCAACCCCTCTCCCTTTACCCTCCCAGGGCTTTATAGACCACACGCACAACACTAGGTGCGTAAAGCAAGAGCTCATGCAAGGGGGCTTTGCGGGTGACAAGAGGGAGAAACTCATTTGTCAATAACAACATTAACATCAGTCTCTGATGATAAAGGTTCACCTGCTCGTTCTGACAGTCCCACCCTGGTTCACACCTGTGTCCCCCTGGGACCCCACCAGCCCTGCATTCCGACCCAAGGCTAGCTCTTCTCCTTTCTCCCCAGGAGCCCCTTCTAAACTCTCCTCACAACACCCAGTCATATTGCCGCCGTTAAGGGGCTTAAAATGGGTCATAAAAAGGGGTTCCCCTCAAAACAATCATTTCTGACTGTTACCAAAAATGGCAGGAGTGACACTATCACAAACCAAAGCACCTCAGGGCATCTGCACTTGCTTCTGCAGAGAACGCCCTTCTCCTCGTTACCCGCCTGGCTGGATATTTTGCTTCCTTCAGGTCTGTACTTTCTCTGGCCAATCTAAAAGTGCTATATTCTTACCCAATATTCCCTACTTCCTTTTCCCGTTTTCATTTTCTCCATAGCATTTACCATCTAAAACACTATCGATTTTCATTGTTTAACTTATTTTAGAAAGCAAGCTCCATGAAAAGGGGGCCTCTTGTTGTGGTTTCATTTGTTTTGTTCTCTTGCTAAATCCCCACCTAGCATAGTACTTGGCGCCACAGTAAGTGCTCAATAAATGTCTGCTGAGTAAATAAATACACCCAAGGCTGTACTCCGAGGAAATTTTATAGCTGAAAATTTCTCAAGTAAGAACAGAATGAAAATAGGTAAGCTAAGGCTTCAGTTCAGGGACAGCAGAGCCTGTCTTACTCAGCACTCTAAAGTCAGCCTCACCCAGCACAGTGACTAGCGCACTGTAGGAGAGTTCAGTGAATACAGAATAACAGTAAATAAGCAAAGTAAATCCAAACTGAGCAAAAGAGAATTAAGACAACAGCATTAATAAAATTGAAAGGCAATAGAATTGGCAGCAGTAACAAAACTCTAAAAGGATTAAGAAAATGTAGCGACATATTATTAAGATTATAAAAGAAAAAAGAAAACCATCAATAAGAGGATGTTTTTGTTTTGTTTTAACTAAAAGAATACCATGTATAATTCTATGCCAAGAAGTTTGAAAGACTCTATTTAAAAAGGCGACCCATCTACCCCAGGGATACACAAGGTTCTAATTTGGAACTTCAAGGCTGGCAAATTCCATGCTTGTTTTTCCCTCCCTTACCCTTAACACCCCTTCCAAGGGAGTGGCCTTTCCCAGAGGGCAAGGGGCCAACTGCAGGTCACTCCTGCCTCCCCAGGGCCCACCCACAGCGGCCCGGCCATGTGTGTGTGCTCAGTAGGCAGCGAGGGTCAGTGTGTTGGTGGGGGCAGGGGCTCACCTTGTTGGCACAGCTGAAGCCCAGCCCCAGCTCAGCCAGGACCTTCAGCACGCCCAGGCTGCTGTTGCACTTGACAGCGTAAAAGGGCCGGACTCTAGGCAGGCACTTCAGAAAGCAGAAGTGCTTCCTCACTACCGCGCCCAGGTCGGCCACGAAGAAGGCAGTGGCCTCACCCTGCACAACAAGATGGGTGAATGTGAGAGAGACCCCCCCCCCCAGCTCCCGCCTTGTGCATGCCACCCCTGGTCTTCTCAAGTATCTGCCCCAAATGTGGCTGTGGCCACAAAGCTGCCTGCTCTAAGTCTTCTGGGGGGCTCCCAAGTCTACAGGACAGATGGCAAACTCCCCAGCCCGGCATGCAAGGATCTGTGGCCCAGCCCCTCCCTGCAGCGCCAACTCCAGCTGCAGGCTGAATTCTTTATTTTCCCACCCCCCAGCCTCTGTTCCCACCCTGCCCTCCACATGGAATACCCTACCCCCACTGTGCCTGGCAAATACCTCATCTACCTTCAGTTTCACCTGGGACACTACCTCCCCCCAATCCCAAAAGGCAGCTCTGCTTTTAACGCTCCCACTGCATTTTGCACTTGCTTCCAAAGTATCACAACTGTGTGCGCATCTGTCTTCCCCAGAAAAAAGATAAATTCCTTGGAGGCCAAAGTTGTGGCCCGCAGCCCATTGCTTTTCACATACTGGTGCTTGCGGGAGTACCACTGCCACTGTCACCCATGCCTGTCTGTGGTCAGCTGGTTACCACAGATTTGCTGAGGGCTGACTACGCATAAGGCTACGGGTGAGACCACATTGCTGAAACCTCCGCTGGGACTGTTTCCCTTTATGCAACACTTTTTTTTTTTAACTGACGCCCACTTGGTGTTGGACATTATGCCAAGGGACAGAGACGACCAGGCAGGGCTCCAGCCCTGAAGGGACTAGGGTCTGGAAGAGAACACATCCCTATGCAATTACAAGTGCGTTCAGTAAGTGCCAGATGGAAGTTTCTATGCAATGCAGTTGGGGCCATGGGGAAAGAATTTACAAAATCTGCCTGGGCCATCAGAAAACGGTGACACTGGTGAGTAATAAGGCATGAGTAGAAATAGGTAAGAGGCCGGGAAAAGAGTGTTCTAGGCACAGGGGTGATAATAGGGCACATGGCGTCACTGGGACACAAGGCAGAGTAGTTCAGCTCTGATGGAGCATATACCATGGGAGAAGCCAGAAATGGAGCTGTGAAGGCAGAGGGATTCTGATTTGATCCTATAGGCAACTGGGAACAGCCAAAGAATTCTGATATCGAGCAAGGCTGTGTAAAGCGAGTGTGTGTGTGGCAGGAGGGGGGGGCTGGGAGATGAGGCAGGAAAGAGGTTGGGGGGCCTTTAGAGAGATGGAATCTGAACTAGAAAGAGGTTTAGGAGGAGCACACTGGAGGGTATTTTAAGGCGGCTGAACTCACAGAGCTTGGCGATGCCTAGATGAGGGGGGGGGGGGGGGCGGGCGGGCAGGGGAAGAAGGGCCCCCAGGTTTCTGACCTAGATCTAGGGCCTGGGTTGATGATAGTGGTGCTGTCCTCAAGGCAGGAACAGGAGGGGCAGGTTTGGGAGGCAAGGACCAGGAACTGGGGATAAAATGGGTCTGGCTCTTGCAATTAGCAAGTTATGAATAGCAAGTGAAAGAATAAGATGAGGCCCCAGGGGTCCTTTCAGAGGAGGTAGCTGGGCCTGCACCAGGGACCGGGGCTCCAACCCCACCCGCACCCCCTCACCGTGGTGGCCTGAGAGGCCCCCATAGTGAGCTCCTCCAGCAGATCTCGGGTGCTGAAGCCCTCCTCCACCATCACAAAGTCCGTTTCGCTCAGGTAGCCTGCCATGCCGAGGAGGAGGAGGAGGAGGAGAAGGAGGAGGAGGAGGAGGAGGAGCCGATGGGCTGGATGGAGCCGCCGCCGCTGCCTCTGCCTCCGCCGCCGCTGCCGCCTTAGAAAGTATGCAACACACTGCGGGGGAGAAGGAGGTGCTGCTGGCCTGGGGTCGATGGGGCGGGGGCGGGGAGGGGGGGACTGGCCTGGGGTCGATGGGCGGGGTGGGGGGGCGGGGCCTCCGCTGACCCCCTCACTTCCCCAAGCCACAGTGCCCAGTCCTGTCACACCCGCCACGCCCCTAGCACAAGCCTGGGGAGCTCAGGTTCACTGGGAAGGGTAGAGACAATCGCGAATCCTGGACTGGGACTCGGCATTATAGGCTTAGATGTCAGTGCCTCTCCGAGCCTCAGTGTCCCCATCCATAAAATGGATGCATTGTTTTGGAGATTCTTTCCAGTTTTAGTAAAAAAAAAAAAAAAAAAAAAAAAAAAGGGAAGAGAGTAAGGGAGCAGGAAAGCCGAGCGTCTCGGGAGGCCGCTTCCAGCTGCCCCAGCCCTGACCACGCCCACCTAAGGAGGCTGCAGAGGCTGCGCCGAGCCCAGCACCCGAGCTGAAGTTCGAGCCCGCTCTCCGCTGCGTGACCTTGGGGACTCCCCATCCCCTCTCAGAGCCTCAGCTTCTACATTTTTAAAGGGGGGCAGCTGGCCTTGGAGTGCTAGGATTCTAAGCGTGCATGGGGGCGCCTTGCGGGCTCCAGGGGCGAGGACCAAAGGCTGAGGGTCCTTCCCGGGGAGCCCTCCCGAGTGCAGGGCCGAGGTCCCGCCCCCGACCCCCATACACACACACACACACACACACACACACACACACCCTTACCACGCCCCGTCCTCCTTCGCAGGGGCCAGAGCCAGGCGCACTGCTAGGGGGGGTCGCCGGTGACCTCGAAACTTGTGCAACACCCCGAGGAGGAGTGGCAGTTGCGGAGCCGAGGCCCCTGCTGAAAGGAGGCAAGAGAGGCCAGGGGCACGTCAGCACTGGAGACCGGAGCCGAGGGCGCCCGCCCCCTGAGGCTCCCCGCGCCACTCCCCGCACTCGCCTTAAAACGCATTTACACGGCTTCGGCCCATAGATCTCCCCAGCGAGTGAATCGGGTCCTCCGCGCCTCCGCGCCTCCGCTCGCTCGCTCCCCCCCGATCCGGCCCGCGGCCTGCGCCCCGCCCGCCCAGCAGCCACCGACCCCACGCTCCGCCTTCCTCCCGCGGCCGCTTATATAAGCCCCGCCCCGGCCCCGCCCCTGCCGCTCAGGCCCCGCCTCCGCTCGGCCGCCCCGCCGTAGCCCTGGCAACCGCGTGCCGTCATCCCATTGGTCAATTCTGACATAAAGCATTCAGCTCTGCCAGAGGGTCCGCAAATCTGAGCATCTGTCCTCCCGGCCGGCCGATCCCTTGCCCACCCGACCCCTGGAAATCGGAACCGCAGCGTCACCATCTCACAATTCCCGGCGTCGACGCGGTGGGACTCTTAGTTCCTGGTCGTGGATCGTAGAGAGTGGACAGGAAGCCAAATTTCCTATTTGCTCCTGGGAAGACTTTTCTGTGACTACCTCCTCTGCCCTGTCTGGCTCCTCCCTCGCAGTCCAGGTAAAAGGTCATCTTGTATTACTTTTTGAATAAAACCCGTTTTTATTTCATTACCTCTTCCAGCATCTTCTCTGACACCTCCAGCTCGAACCCAGCCGAAGTATCTTCAGAGAGCCTTCTGTGATGTTCTCAGCTTAGGGCCATCCCTCCCTCATTTCATCCTCTGAATCCGGCAAACGCCTAGCAACTCTCCTAGGAAATGTGCCTCCTAAGGTAAGCGTTCTCTGACTCCCCACTCAAAGCATTTCTCCTCTTCTATCCCCGAAAAACTCCTCCTCATCCGTCTAAGTCCAGTATGCCACTCCCCTGTTGAGCCTCCCCGGACTTCCCTAGCGTGGGGACTCATATCTGTGGGGACCCCTCAGGCCTTCGGCTCTGGTGACCCACAGGGTGAGAGTCCTGACGTCGTTTTACACCTCTTGTTCGGTCACACTTCTCGTGGAGTGTGTGAGCTCTCAAGGGCAGGAACCGCGGGCGTGGCTCCTCCCAGTGCCCAGTGAGTGCCTGGCACAAATAAAAGTGCTGAAGAGGATTCAATATCTGTTACTCAAAAGCTAATTTAGAAGTTCATCTGGAACAGTGATGATATGAGAACAACTAAGACATTCTTGAAAAAGAAGAAAGAGGCCTCCCTGTACCGGATAAAAACATATTTTTAAAGTGATAGTCTTTGAAATAGCATGGTGGTGGTGCAGGACGAGACGGCAGTAGCACCGAACAGAGTCTAGAGTAGCCTGGTGCACATTGGAGGATGCAGTACACAGTGAAGACAGCATTTCAAATCAGGGTGGCCAAAGAGCTCATATGTGTTCATGTCCCCTGTCAGGCTGCAGGCTTCTTGAACGGCAGGGGCACTTCTGGTCCTGCCGCAGTACCTGCCAGGGGCGACCTGAAAAACCTAATCAGAGCATGCACAGATGGTGTAGAGCAGTGACCACGGAGTCTGGAGGAGCCATTTTCTACTTCTCACCCAGCCTGGCCACAGGACTGCTGGGTGTACTTGGTTGGGGTCATTCTGCTTAGATAGTCACTTCTGCCTGGCTTGGGTTCAGACTGAATGATTCCTCTGTGCCCTTCTACTTGGAACCTTTTTGCTTTCTATGCATAAGTACGGCCTTTCAGGAGGCAGTCACTTTACAGGAGGGGTCAGTTGCAAGCCCCTTCTTTGAAAGATTCATAGTCATTTCCACTATAGTATGAATTAGTGACTGAGGTCCTCCTGAGAACAAGCATCTACTGACTGTAAGGAGGTAGACCAGGACAGCCATGAAATGCTGAAGGGAACCCTCAAGAAAAGATGAGAGGAGGGGAGGGGCGCCCAAACAAACTTTGGCTCTATTTTTTTTAATATATTTTTATTGATTTCAGAGAGGAAGGGAGAAGGAGAGAGAGAAACATCAATGATGAGAGAGAATCATTGATCAGCTGCCTCCTGCATGCCCTCTACGGGGGATTGAGCCCACAACCCAGGCATGTGCCCTTGACCAGAATCGAACCTGAGACTCTTTAGTGCGCAGGCCAACGCTTTATCCACTGAGCCAAATCAACTAGGGCGGCTCTATTTTTTTTAAACCACTTTTGAGCTGGCTGTATTTGGCTTCCATGGTCTAAATCTATCTCACGAGCTCATTTCATCCCTTGGTACAGAGTAGGCACATTCACTATGCTTACCGAATGAATGAATCAATGAAGGTAAGAAGGAACGAATCAGAATCCAGTCTGTTCATATATTATCTGTCAAGGGCTAGTGGACAGGATACAAATAAGCTGGATGTATCTTTTTCCCTACTGCATATTTATATCACTAAATCTCCATGGCAACCCTATGTCACAGGGGCTATAATTGTTCCCATTTTACAAATGAAAAATCTGAGACTCAGAGAAGTTCAGGAATTTGCCAAGGGTCACATAGCAAGTAAGGGTGGAGCCTGGATTCAAAGCTATCTGTCCTGACTCCTACCCTTTATGTTTAACTGCCAACCAGTGGCTGAGCATTCTGGCTGCAGCTCAACAAAAATCACCCAGTCATCCTGCTGGCATCCAGCCCAAAAATTGTCAGCCCCTCTCCTGCCAGTCTCTCATGCCACTGTTATCCATAAATGCTGTGCAGAGCCCTCAAGAATATGTTGCTGCCCTAGCCGGTTTGGCTCAATGGATAGAGCATCGGCCTGTGGACTGAAAGGTCCCGGGTTCAATTCTGGTCAAGGGCACATGGCCAGGTTGCAGGCTCAATATCCGATATCCGGTTGGGGATTGCAGGAGGTAGCCAATCAATGATTCTCATCATTGATGTTCCTATCTCTCCCTCTCCCTTCCTCTCTGGGAGATATATATATATATATATATATATATATATATATATATATATATATATATATATATATATATATATTGCTGAAGCAGGACAAAAAAAAACTCTGATCTCTGGCCAGGATCGTGTCAATCAATTTCAATCTATTTTTCCTAAACCAATCATAATCATCATCACAAAGACTGCAATAAGAAAGATGTCTTATGTCTGCCTAGAGCTGGAGAATTTGCAAAAATACTTTCCTATTGATCATTTCATTCAGGCTTCCCAGTACTTCCTGGGATTGGATGTGAGCTAAATTTAGGTTTGGCTGAGGAAAATAGAAAATCCCCAAATAACAGAGCCATAAACAAACATAGGTTTATCCTACCAAGTATGTCGTCGATAATATTGGAGGCATGCCATGCCCAGCTCCTAGCTTCTAGCTTCGTGGTACAAAATGGCTGTTGGAGCTCCAGCCACATTCCCAGGGCTAATATGTAACCCAGTGGTCGGCAAACTGCAGCTCAAAAGCCGCATACGGCTCTTTGGCCCCTTGAGTGTGGCCACAAAGTTTCAATTGCACTGTACGTGCGCGCCCGCATGTGGTATTTTGTGAAAGAGCCACACTCAAGGGGGCGCAGTTTGCCGACCACTGATCTAAGCAATATGTGAATGTGTGTGACCACACACCTTGTTCTTGGTCCATGTCCTTTTTGATTGATCAGTGCCATCTCCATACACAGGTTGTTAAATATTATAAACATCAACCCTGCACATTCCAAGCATCAGGAAGCCTCCCGTTAAGCAGCCACCTTCAAATTCCACCTGTGTTAATTTCCTAGGGCTCCTGTGAAAAAGTACCAAAATCTGGGTAGTTTAAAATAGATATTTATTGTCTCACAGTTCTGGGAGCTAGAAGTCCAAGCTCAAGGTGTTGGCAGTGCCATGCTCTCTTTGGTGGTTCTAGGGGAGAGTCTTTGCTGCTTCTAGCTTCTGGTGTTTGCTGGCAATCCTTGGAGATCCTTGGCATTCCTGGGCTTGTAGGCTTATCACTCCAGTCACATGACTGTCTTCTCCCATTGTGTCTTCACATCATCTTCCCTCTGTACATGTCTGTCTCTGTGCTCAAATTTCCCTGTTTAATAAGTATTCCAGTCATTCTGAATTAGGACCCACCCAAATGACCTCATTTTAAATTGATTGTGTAAAGACCCTGTTTTCAAATAAGGTCACATGCTGTGGTATTTGGGTTAGAGAGGTGGGAAGATATAGTCAGTAGTTGGGTATGTTGTTACTTCCTCCCACACCCAATAAAGTCAAAATACTAGGGAAGAAAGGGAGACTGGATATTGTGTGAAGACTGGCAGTCTCTGCCACAAGTAGGAAAGGTTATTCCCCCTTCTACTGATCACATACCAGTTAGAATGATTATGGGATTTACTCCATAGGGAGAGGTGAACAGAGAAGTAAATAAGCATTTATTAAGCACCTATTGTGTGACAGTTACCATGATGAATGTTTACAAATACATGGTTGTATTTAATCTTTGTTTGTGTTGTTAATCCCCACCCAAGGATATTTTTTCCATTGATTTTTAGAGAGAGTTGAAGGGAGGGAGGGGGAGAGAGAGAGACAGAGAAACATCAATGTGAGAGAGACACACACTGATTAGTTGCCTCCCACAGGGGCCCTAACAGGGGTTAGGGATCAAACCTGCAACCTAGGTATGTGCCTTTGACCAGGAATCAAACCTGCAACCCTTTGGTCCGAGGGCTGACACTCTAGCCACTTAGCAAACCAGCCAGGGCTATTTCATCTTTATACAACCCAGCAAGATGGACATTATTGGCCCCATTTCACAGATGAGAAAATTGGTGTTAAATCCTTTGTCCAAGATTACACTGTTAGTGTGAGCAATAGAGCTTGAACTTAACTCTGGTCTGAAACTTTATGCCTGTGAAATGGGCCCTGAGAATGGAGCATAAAGCCAGAACAAAGCATGCTTCAATCAGGCCAACAGCAAACAGCAGGAGACCTGAGGGGGTCTGGAACTCAGAGTGAGATCACAGATGAACTGGTAGAAGAGCATCAACCTGAAGTCAGCACTGCCAACTCCCTGGGGGCATCAGTGAGATGGAGACCCTGAAGAAACCGCAGCCAGATGTTGAAAGCAGCCTTAGGCATTGTAAAGTCAGAGCTGTCTTTAAGTTAAGGATGGAAACTAATAACAGCAGCAGCCACCGTTTGTTGAGCATCTACTATACTCCAGAAACTGTATTATGTATTTAACATTAATAATAGCTTACATTACCAGAGTAGTTGCTATCATGCAACCTTGTACAATTGATATGACCTTGAATCTCACAACAATCCTTTGAAGTTTGTGCTATTAATATTACAAGAGAGAAAACAAGCTAGAGAGGCTAACTAACCTGTTCAAGGTCACACAGCTAGTAAATGGCACCTCTATGCTACATGCATTTCCTCCATCTTCACAACAAGCCTGCAAGGTGGGAATTATTACTCTCATTTCACAATTCAGGAATCTGAGGCCCAGAGATGCCAAGTACTTGCCCAAGATGACACAGCTGGCAAATGACAGAGCCAGGGCTCTGGCTCGGGGCTGTGCACTGGTGAGGAATTTGAAATGGTACAGGCCAGGATCATGTTGGAGCAGATCCTGGACCCCAACTCTTGGAATCCCAAATCCTAGTTATTAGTAAGGCATCTGTCCCCTGACACAGAGGCAGGCAGGACAGAGGCCTGGTCTGTGCCTCAGAACCCAGCCCAGGACCTGGTACCGAGCTGGGCCTCTTTCTAAATTCAGCGTGTTGACTGACTATGGGGTTACAGTCACACCCTTCCCTAGACCGACAAAATGCTAAGTTGCTGAATTGGGTAGTTTGGATTTCTTTATGTTTCTTTTCACTCTCTTTTAGGCTGAATGCAAATGTGAAAAAATAATAGTGTGCAACGATTAAGGAATCCACACACCTTCTCTCAAGCCAGACCTAGTCATTTCTGACAAATGTGATGAGAATACAACCATCACCACCAAAAAAACCCACAGATACTCCGCTGAAAAGTCTCACTTTCTCCAGCTGCTGTCTCCAGGGCCACCTGAGAGTGGAATGGAAAGGGATTGATCCAATGGTGCTCAGATGGGTGGGCTTCAGAACCACCTGGAAGGCTTGCTAAAACAGGTTTCTGGGCCCCACCCCAGAGTTTCTGAGCCACTAAGCCTTATAGCAATCATTTCAAACTCAAAGGCTAACACGGGCCAAATAAATGAGGCCTGCGGGCCGCGAGTTTGACATGCTTGCCTTAGAGTATGCATTTCTGACAAATTCCCAGACGATGCTGATGCTGCTGGCCCAGGAACCACACTGTGAAAACCCCTGGCCTGAATGAACTTGAAGCACAGCAGACAGAGGTCAAAGCTGTGTACCCTTGAAAGAAAGCATTGGGCTCTCACCCCAACCCAGCTCAGGTGAGAGGTAGGGTGAGGCAAACACCAACCTGGGCTGGAAGGCTGTGTGTCCCTAGATAATAAACGAACAGACTCCAGGGGTATATAAACTTCAATTCATCTCTGGGGCAACTCTCACTGGCTGTGTGACCTTGGAAAAGTTACTTATCTTGTATGAACCTGACTTACGCATCTGTACAATGGGCATGAAAAGGGAGTGCCTACTTTCTAGAACTGGTTCTAGGAGTCCATGAGCTCTTGCTGGGTGCTTGGCTCATACCTTAGTAAATGCATTCTAAGTGGTCGCTCTTGGTATTACTACCCTGAGCCAGGGGGTCAGAGGAGAAAGTCCAGCAAAGGGTCAGGGATACTGCTGAGGAAGGATGGGAGAAGCAGCCCACAAGGAGGTTTGGGAACCTGAGCTGAGGAACACCCAGCCAGGGTCAGAGGTCCAGGAAGAGGGTCAGCATGTTGTGAGGAGGTGGGTGGCGGAATTCTATTCCATTCCCTGTGGGATTGCACAGGGGCAGAGGCCAATGTGCGGAGCACTGAGTCATGCAAGCCTGTCCCAAGCTGAGCCACTTTTGAAATTGCTGTAGTCACGTTCTCCTCTCGAAAACTGCTCGCTCATCTCAAGGGAAAGTGGAGCCAGGCAGCCATGTCTGCACCTCCGGCTCTCCCTTCCCTCTCCCTCCTCCCCCTCCCCCACTGCTGATTGAACCATAAGACATCCATGTACCTCCAGGTAACTGACCAATCAGAGACACAGAGACTGTGGTTGGGTGATAAGTCAGAGCCAGGGTGACTGGAATCCACTCTAGAAGGAGCCAAAGAGCGTTTGCCTCCATCTCCGAGGCTTCTGGCCACACAGCAGAGTCCTCAATGCATGGACACTAGATCTCCTGCCTTTGGAAGGCACAGCGCCACTTCCTCTGCTTTCCATTGGTTAAAGTCCCACGGAGCGGCCCCAGATTCAGTGTGGATGGGACCACACAAGGCGTGAGTATTGGGAGTCATGGTCTACGGGGGACATCATTGGAAACCAGCTGCCACAAACCCAACCTCTACACATCCACTGTGCCCACTCTGTCTAGATCAGCGGTTCTCAACCTGTGGGTCGCGACCCCTTTGGGTGTCGAACGACCGTTTCACAGGGGTGGCCTAAGACCATCGGAAAACACATATATAATTACATATTGTTTTTGTGGTTAATCACGATGCTTTAATTATGTTCAATTTGTAACAATGAAATTGGGGGTCACCACAACATAAGGAACTGTATTAAAGGGTCGCGGCATTAGGAAGGTTGAGAACCACTGGTCTAAATCATCATGATCGTCTCTAACCCAGAGGTCTGCAATAATTTTCTAGGTAATCCCCTGCGCTACTCCTACCTCTTGCCAATCTAGTCCCCACACTATCACCCATGTTCTTATTAAAATGCAAAGAATGTCCAAATGCAGATTCAGTCGATCCCTGTTTAAAACCCTGCACTGACTTCCCACTGCTCTTGGGATGAAGTCCCAGATTCTTTTTTTTTTTTTAAATATATTTTATTGATTTTCCACAGAGAGGAAGGGAGAGAGATAGTTAGAAACATCGATGAGAGAGAAACATCGATCAGCTGCCTCCTGCACATCCCCTACAGGGGACGTGCCCGCAACCCAAGTACATGCCCGCAACCCAAGTACATGCCCTTGACCGGAATCGAACCTGGGACCTTTCAGTCCACAGGCCGACGCTCTATCCACTGAGCCAAACCGGTTTCGGCAAGTCCCAGATTCTTAAAAAGCCTGTGAGGCCCTCCATCAGGGCTCTAGGTCCAGCTGCATCTACTCAGCTCCTCTCTCCCCCTGCCACCACCATCGGGCCTTCCTGCAGCTCCTCACACCTGCCACACACTTTCCTCTCCTGGGGCCTTCCCTTTGCCTCTTCATGTGACCCAGCCACTCTCCACCTTCAGGTCTCTGCTTCCTAGGAAGTGTCCTCTCCTCGGAGAGGCTGTCTTGGTGCTTTGGATCATCAACACATTGTTCTTGTTGGGAGGAAAGAGAAAATCCAGCTCAAACTGGCCCTAGTGCAAAGGGAATTTATTGCCTCATGTAAGAGAGCCACTGAGGGATCAAACCTCAGACACAGACTTTGCTTCAAGTGTCAGCTCTGCGTTCTGCGGGGTGGGCTTCCTCCTCAGGCAGCCCTGGACCCCTGGACTGTGTCTGCTTGGCCCTGTTGCTTGACGTGGGTCTCCGGCCACCCCCTCCCCAGCTTAGGAAGGAAGGAAGGTGGGGAAGGGGCGGTTCCTCCAAGGAATAAGTGGGGTATTGTTACATGAAGAAGGGAGGTGCATTGCAGGCAGGTAAAAACCACCAAAGCATTCCCTTTACCCTCCATGCCAGCACCCTGAACATTTCCTTCACATACCCCGGCATTCTCTTTTTTTTATTTCTCTTTATTGTTGAAAGTATTACAGATATCCCCCCTTTTTTCCCATTGACCCCCTCTCTCAATATTATATATATATATATATATATATATATATATATATACACAAACCCATCAAGACAATATAAATGTTTCAAATAAAATATTAAAAGGAATTAAAAGAAAAATATAGTTCCCAGAAATAGACAGAAATCATAACTTTGAGGGGTGTTTAAGCACCTTAAGTCATCTCATAACAAGGGCATCCCGACAAATACATGCCTATTTTAGAGGTAAGAGGAGCACCCCATTAGCCAGCTGCGCCCCGTGCCTGCCCCCAGAGCCCCTCCACCACCACCTAACCCGGGAGACGCCCGAGCCTCACCTGTTCAAGGGATTAGTGAGGCCGCCTCCCCGCTGCCCGCGCTGAGGTTTCCCGGGTGCACTAATTAGTAGGTATTGGTTTTTATCACCTACACGTTTTATCGGACTTGTTTCCATGAGGTGTGCGCCTGTGACCGTGCAGCGCAGGAGGCCGGCAGAGGAGCGCAAGCAAACCCGTCGGTCCGGAGTCGGCATCTGCTGCAGTTTCCGGCGGCGCTGCCTGGACCGGCGCGGCGAGGGCCAAGTTCCGCCGGCAGCTCCCACCCGAGGCTGCCGAACCTCCCGCCGCCGCCGGCCGCAGAGCAGCCCGCCCCGCCCCTGCAGGGCAGAGCCTCGTCGGGCTCACACGGAGGACGCGCGTAGGGCTGTGATCTACGAGGTTGCTCGCGGGTCGAAAGGCAAACCCAACGAAGTGCCGCCCATTCCTCGCCGTCTCCTTCCCTGGGGATTCTGAGTACAGTCCCCGTTCCAGCGAGGAGGCCGCAGCGGCGCTCCGCCCGCACCGGGGACCCTGCGGGTGCGCGGGGAGAGGAGGCGGCGGACACCGGGGACGCGCGCCCGGCGCACGGAGACCAGCGGCCAGCCCCGGGCGCGGTGCAGCCACTGCCCTGCACGGACCGGGCTGGGCGGGCGCACGAGGAGCCGGGACCCGAAGTCGGGCAGAGGCGGGCCGCTCCCCGCGGGCTCCGGACCCCGGGGGGCGGGCGGGGAGGCGAGGCTTGGCCGGCGCGCCGCGCTCCGGCGGCCGAGGGCAGCGAGGTCAGCCCTGGAGGACCGACTGCCCTCGGTCCCCTGGGGAGGGAGGGACCCCGCTCGGCCCACGGGCTGCGGACACCCATTCACCCCAAAGCCCGTTCCCGCGGCCGCCACCCCTTCCGCGCACCGCGGCCCCTCGGCCGCCCCAGGGAGGATGGGAAGGACCAGGCGAGGGGCCGCCGTGGCCGCGCCTCCCGGGAGCACCGCAAAGGCTGAAGGGCGGCCCTCGAATAGGGAGCCCTGGGCGGCCATCGCTCCGACCCCCGCCCGCCGCGTCCCCGGTCCAGACCGCCGCCGCCGCGCAGCCCGCTGCTCCCCTCATCTCCGGGCGGAACAATTAACCGGTTATTAATGCGGATTAATTATTAACCAATTAATAATGTGGATTAACCGTGAACCGGTTAAAATGCGGATTAACTTTAACCAGTTAATAATGCAGATTTTGTAATCCAAAGAAAACACTATAATTTCAAGAGAAACATCAAAAGTGCTTTATTGAAAGTAACGTCCATCACTAGCTACACATCCCCCCATCTTTTGGGTAATTTGTGGATAGCGTCCTGCCGGGGTCCAACCCCAGCAGGTCCAGGGGTTCCCAAAGGCATAGACGGAGTCGGCGAAGAAGGAATGACACGGAGACAGCGTTCAGTTGATCAGCAGCCTAGCCAGGATCTCCAGCCAGGATCTCCAGCCAAGTTCTGCTGTTTATTGTCTTGTTACATCCGTATTTATACCAGTTGATTTTAATCCTGTCAATTTCTATTACAAAGGTTAGGGCGTTTCTTATCTCCATTCCAGGGAGTAAAGATTATGTAGCTTAAGCATGATTGTTTGTAGTGATTAACTACCCGCCTGGCACTTAGTTAAGGAGTTTCATCCCCTCCCTGACTTCAGGGAAAAATTCCTACCTGGGGAAACAACCTTTCTTGGAGAGGTGACCTTGGTTAAAACACACAGCGCTAAGGGGAGCAAACATATTAAGAACAGTATGCTATATACGCCAGGTCCCTTGAAACATATGCTGTGCAGATGTTTCTTTCCTGCAGCGACTGTGTCAAGCAGCAAGGATGGACCGGCTTCTGGCAAATTCCCCCTTTTTTATTTTTTAAATGATAGCGCATGCAAATCAGTGGCCACCTCTCAGACTGGGCCATTTAAGTCTCGGAAGAAGAGTGGCAAGCAATGATAGTGAGCATAGCTATAAACATAGTGGATGGAGCGCAGAAGGAGCCTCATTCCTGTAGAAGGTTGCCAGCCTCTTCAGTCCAGGGATTTCAGCTGTCCTCAAGTTGTTGGTTTGGTTGTCTTTGTTGGTCTGGCTAGTGGGCGGCGTCACTGGCGACAGGCTTCCCGAAGCATCAGCAAGTTGAAGGGCTGCATCAAAGGGTCCATCAGGGCCGTGGTTGATGGTGGTGTCGATGTCCAAGGAGGAGTAAGCTGTGCCCTCTGGATCCAGCTATTATGGAAAATGGAGGGTAGTAGAAAAAGAAGAGAAAGCAAAAGAACTACAAGGCATGGAAGTGTTTAGAAAAAAGAGGGAGAAGAAAGGGAAGAAGGCAGCATCCTGACA